GAGCGAGCAGTGAAGGCAATGTTGTCGATTCAAACTTTCCCTCCAGCACTTTATAATTCCTACACTAAGGACGATTGATCCACAACCAGCTACACTTTCAGTGAGGCAATAAGGCTGGAGCTTACCGTGGTGCTATGGTTCGCGTGCTTCAGAGATCCATTGAGATATCCTGGGTGGTGCTTTCTTTTGCACCTTCAGTGGCAATCATACCAGACTGATCAATGGTTAAAGCACAGACAAACTCAGCCTCCTGGTCCTCCAGGTTGTTGGTTGGATTGAGGGTGGCTCCTTATTCCTTTAAAATGGACTCTTTGAAGCCCACCGCCAAACTCGCTGCGTTGCGGTCAGGTTTTTGAACCAAAGGCTTTGGTTGAGAAGCCTAATGGTTCTCCTGTCTAGGCCTGGGCAACTTGACAATATCCTGCCCACGCAATACAATGAATTTCTCTTCAAACAGTTTCTTGCTGCTCTGGCCACCGCAAAGGATAATAAACGGTGACCTATCTGCTGCATCGAGCAGGGTGGATAGGGGTTTGGATGCTATTGTGTAAGTCTTCTGGTCTTCTTATTCCCCCGCTTACGCTTTTTCACCCTTTTCGTCCTGTTCCACTCACTATTATCCTTCCCTGTTTTCAACCACCGAAATCCTGGCCCTCCCCACCTTGCTTTCACAGGCTTTTACCCGCTAGTTTCAACTCACATGTGAACGCGGAACGTCATTCCTGCCCTGTCGACAAGCCCATGTCCAGGCAAGCGGCCCATTCCAGTTCATCGGCTTCTATTTGGAGCCCTCGATCCTCCTTCAGATTGGCATGCCTCCACGTACTTACCTTGCTACAGATCGGTCAACAGGCAGTACTTGCCCGAACATTAACGACCCTCTCGATCGATATCCTTTGCTTATCGGAGACCCACCTGCAACACTCAAGCTCTGTGCTCACTCTGCCATCCCCTTCAGGTGATACCCGTAGTATTTTCTCATTGTGTCTATTCGGTGACGATGCAGCTTCGAGCACCGGCCAAGCTGGTGTTGGCATTGCCCTGAGTCCCCGGGCTGAAGCTGCTCTGGTTAATTGGATTCCAATCAGTAGCCGGATGTGTGTGGTCCGATTGACTGGCCTGTTCGAAGCTTCGAGGTCACGTGGGACTAATAGATGTCTCATCGCTGCCTACGTGCCCACAAACCAGCAATGATTCGGTAAACAACAACTTCCATCGCCAACTGACCGAGCTCCTTTAGCACAGACGAAGCACGGACACTGTAGTGCTGGCGGGGGATCTGAACGCACAAGTTGGAAAATTATCCACTGATGAACTGCATCTGGGCTATCAACGCGGTGTAGGCTCCCGTAATGATAATGATGCTCGCTTATTTCTTGCGAGCACTAACTTCCGACACAGCACCTACCGGTGACATGAAGCCCACCAGCCTCGAACCAGCCTTGGACGCAAATCGGTCATATTGCAAGCACGTACCGATGGAGTGGTTGTGTCCAAAACTGTCGCTCGATTTAGAGCACATGTGTGGACACTGATCATGCACTTGTATGTGATGACATGCGAATGCGCTTTGGCGGACGCCCACAACGGCGCTGTGAGCTCATTGACACCAACCAACTGACGAAGCCAGCTTTTCTGCTTGTCTATCAAACTACGCTGACATGCGAGTTGAGTACGCGATCCTTGGATACAACTGGAGCTCATGTACACCAGACCTTACTAGCAGCAGGAAAATCTTCATGTGGTTTGTCTAATCGCCAACATGGACATTGGGTCTCTTCGCAGTCTCTGGAACTTATCGATGCTCGCCGATATATTCCAAATAGAAGCGAACACAATGAAATTCGCAAACAGCTCCGGGCAAAATTCCGTGCTAGCCTGAAGAGAGACAGCGAATCCTGGTGGTCTCATCGTGTATCAGAGATGGAAGTGGCCGCTACACTTAGTATCCATCGAAAGTTATTCCGTCTGATACGGGAAACGGGCAGCAGGAGACCTGATGTTAGTGAAACAAACTATGACGACAGTGGACCGCCTATCCACAATTTATCAAAACGTTTAGAGCGCTGAGCTGAGCATTTTGAGAAGCAATTTAATCGACCAGGATTGTTGGATTCCTCAGCAGCCAGTGATCGCCCTGCTCACTGGGCTGTCCGTTTGGATCCGTCCTCTTAAAAGTCAAACGGGAAATCGGAGCGTTGAAATTGAACAAAACCGCAGGACCAGATTATCTTCATCCAGCCCTCCTCAAATCCTGAGACCCTGCTCGTTTTGATGATTTACATGAATTACTAGTGAAGCTGTGGAAGCAAGGAACTATCCCAACCGACTGGAGCAGCTCCGTTATTGTTCTTATCTTCAAAGTAGGCTCGCGTCCGCATGCGGCAACCAGGGCGAAATCAGTCTGATCCCCGTCGCCTCCAAACTGCTTGCTGCTGTCATCCTTCGCGGATTAACTGGCGCTCTAAAAAGCCATATTCGTGAAGAGTAAGCCGGGTTTCGTCGAGGTCGTGGCTGCATTTACCACATCTTCACTTTGCGTCAAGTGTTGGAGCACCGTCACACATATTGGCGACCCATCGTAGTCGTGTTCCTCGACATTATAGGTACCTTCGATTCGTTTGATCGATGTGCCTTTTGGGACTGTCTACTCAGGAAAGATGTTCCTGATAAATACGTAAATATTATCCGAGCATTCAGCGCGCGTAGCATGGGCGGAGTGAGGGCTTACAGCAAGCTGTCGCCGCCCTTGAATACCTCCATCGGTGTGAGTCAAAGATGTCCATTGTCACCTTTCCTGTTCAAATTTGCTATTCACGGAGTCATGGAAATTGCATTTCCAGGGCGCGACTTGGAAGTTCGGGAGCTACTCCCAGGTGAACGACTTCTTGACTTTGAGTATTCTGACGATGTGGCTCTAATCTGTGATAGGTCACAAACGTGCTAAGCTGCATTGGACAGATTAGCACTGGAAATCAGCCGCTTCGGGCTTTGTTTTGCACCATCGAAGTACAAATCTTTCCTCCAAGATGGGCATGGATCGCCGTCTGATCTGACCCTTGGTGGAGATCTGCTAAAAGTCGTCCAGGAAGTTAACTAGTTGGGAAGATGTGTCAGTACCCTTGGGATCGAAGATGAGACCACGAACCGTATAACAGAAGCTCGAGGTGCGTTTGCCAATCTTCGCCACTTGGCGGCAGCGCGACATCACTCTCGCCCTGAAGGGTAGAACGTACAATGCAGCGGTACGTTCGACCCTACTGTACGGTTGTGAAACCTGGCCCCTTAAATCAACGGACCTGAAGACGCTAGTTACGTTCGACCACCTTCGTAATTTAGCTCACATCCGGTGGGAACATCGTGTGAGCAACGTGCCTATTTGACGCTTTGGTTACTGTACTGGAACAGGAACTGAACCGCTCAACACCGTCATTTCACGCACCAGGCTCCGATTGCTCGGCCACGTTTTACGCATGCCAGCCCACCGACTTCGGCAACGTGGGTTGTTTGCTCGCCGGGAGTGTGAATGGTAGAAGAGGAAAATTGGTCAAGCCATGACTTGGTTGAGAGGAATGAAGTTCCTCAGTTCGGAGCCGGCATCAGTTGGAGCTTCACGGCTCCCTGCTTGGGGTCCGAAAGAGGATGAACACGTTTGGTTAGATACACTTGCTGTCATGGCTATGAGCTGACCTCAGTGGCTTTCGTGCTGTGAGTTTCTTGGTTTCTCCCCATGCCTTTTGGCCTCCCCTCCAATCACGATCTCAGTTCGTGGCATAATATAATTTTACACAATATCTTTTTGTTACCTAGTAACTGCCTGGTAGCTTTCCTGAACGATGCCAATCCGTTGCTGGTAGCCCAACTAGCATGCAACTGTTGTATTTATTTTCTTTATCCTTTTATGTTTGCGGCACAGTAGCTGAGGTGGTTTACACCTCTAGCTAACGGGTATAATGACGATGATGGTGCTAATTCTGAAACTTTCAGTGTTCCCCGTGTTATGCAATCATGTTTTGAAACTTCGAAAATCGGCCGTGGAAAAAGCTTTAGTCATCATGTCGCAATATGGGAATCTTCAAAAGCCTGCTACAAAGCGTATTCTAAGAGGAATCTTTGAAATTATTGACGTATGCTGTATACGCGTGGCTACTCAAGAACGTATTGAGAAGCTAGTAGATTATAACATACTTTTACATACTTTTATTCGTTTTCTACCCAGCACCCGTGAACCAACATTCCAACCTCCGCCAGTAGGTGTGGTTGTTGGACAGGTTAATTCATAATGGTTGTCTTAATTTCGTACGATAAAATTGCCCCCATTCTACTCTGCATTACGAAGGCATGCTGTTCGCATTTTCACCGATGATTAACCATAATATTCGCATGTGTTACTTGCGCGAATTGGTGTGTCTCAAACCCACTGAAGTGGCTACTTTTATTCACTAATTTGGACACTATACCTTTGGCTTAGTGTGCCCATACACATGTAAGGTGTCTTTCATGGTTTGCAACACATTGTCAGAATTGAGGTTTTCCTTGAGGTCATTTAACGGTCTCTCTCCACCCTCTAGCAGTAAGCATCTGGACCGCACCGACCATCTGTCACGTCTGAGTATCTCTCATGGTCACCACTATTCCCTGTGGGGCAACGGGTCCTACGTCCAGTCTCGGTTGGAACAAACATGCGTCACAGGATGAACAAGCAACTCATTTCGTCCACGAGTCGAATAGACTCGGGATAGAGAGCATGACGGTGGGATCGGTCATGCGCATTTCACAGTACATCTGTCGCGGTATTGAAAACAGAGACAAGGGCGTTTCTGGAGACTCCAAGGACCGACCTCGATGTGCGGTCTCTTGTGCTAGTATGACCGAATCACGCTTTTCTTCACAATATTAGCAGAAATCTAATGGTATGGTTACTTTCACACTACAGGTTCCTACTATCTGGATAACAGAAAACTGCAGGTGCGAAGGACAACATTGTACAGATCACTCACCGGATTGGCACAGCGACTAGTATCGGTGCCGGTTGCCGAATTGGACAGACTTGAAGAAGCACATGCAGGGGTTGGATCACTCTCAGTACGTCGCCCAATAAATGCCGGTAGCGCGTGATACGAAGCTTGAAAAGCGGGAAGACCGCGAAATCGGGTATCAAAAAATTCAGGGCGTCGGAAATAGTTAAATGCATGTTGCTCATCAACCGGAATTCTTGAGATTGAGATGGATTGTTCGACATCAGCCCCATTCATCTGGCTGGAATCGTTCGGTATCTGACTTGGAGAGTATACGGTGCGTGTTGGAGAAATTATCCCACGTGATCCGTGGTTCCAGTTTGTTTGGAAAATTGGATTAGGTGAATTGGGTTCTGCACGGTCCGCCAAGTTAGATGTTCTAACCAGAAAGACAGAATTTTCGCATTGCTTATCCGTTAAACCAACATTTCCTGAAACTGGTAAATTTGACTGCGACTGATGATGCTGGTGGTGTAGTGTGCTGTGTGTAGCCTGTTTAGCTTCGTGCTCTGGCACCGAATTACGATCCATAGGCCTAAACGTCGCAAATGGGACGTGATTTGATGGGTGTATTCTAGGAAATCCGTTAAAATCTAGATCTAGAATTGGTTGTCGTGATACAGGTAAACCTGAAGGGGGCAGTTGCAGTAACATTGGGCGTCTGTTAGTGTCACCGTTTGTGTGTGAACACATCGGAGAGCGATTGGCTTCGATGGCATCATTCACCGATTTATCAGACTGTTCCCTCAAAGACTCCCTGCCACTTGTCAGTGATGTGCCGGCGAGTAGCACTTTCGTGTCATTAGTCTTCATTCGAGTTGGTAATGGTAATGACTCCGAATTAATCGCCTGATTCGATATGCTGCAGTGCCTGTTTGCTCTGAACTCCGGTTCAAATTTGGTATTGGTCGGAGGAATACCATCTTCAGCCGGATGACCTTCAGGGAACCGATCGTGTCCGTGCTGTTGAGTTATGACAGCGACCGCTGCCACAGCCGCCAGGTCCATGGAAGTTGAAGCGGTTGCAGCTCTTCGTGATTGGTACCGTGGATTTGAATTCACTTGTTCTATTAGTTCCCTCCATTCTACTGCCTCTTTTGGACAAAAGTCCGGGTGAAATGGACGTTTTGCTGGTTTGGAGCAATAAAGTGTGTCGTCTTCTGCCACTGCATGATGGGCTACATCACTTGATGCGTCGGAATTCGATGGATATCGCACACTCGCAGTCGCGACAGCAGCAGCCACAGCAGCGCGCTGCATCAGGGGACCTACGTTGGAGCAATCCGATGACAGCAGGGGTGTTCCACTACCTGAGTTATATTGAGAGAAAGCATGTTCACCGGGCGATTTCTTGGATGCTATTTCGCTGCGTTCCTCGGTTGGATTATCCACTGGTGAATCGGTATCCGGTGTGAAGTCAGTACCGCAGCGATTAAAATGCATGTGTGTTGTCTGGTAAGACGAATCAGGGAAACTCGACGTTCCATTGGAACGTCGTAACGCTGGGTGAAAGTAAGGCATTGTTGGCCCGTAGCAATTCATCAAAGCACCTGCTCCCAATCCGTGTAGCGGTGTATTTGTGCAAGCGACACCCAATGTGGCGGACTGCAATAGTTGAGCTGAGGGATAGGGAAAATTGGGTTGATGTGAACTCGGGCACAGAAAAGGTGGTCCCGTGGGTGGAGACACAGTTCTGTACAGCGCAGCTGCTGGGTGCATGTACGATTGCATGGGAGCCTGTGGATGCTGCATTGGCAGAAAAGGGGATTGATACTGACTATGTGGTATGGTTCCATCCGTGATGTGTTGTTGCTGCTGTTTTACCATTTGTTTCTCTTGTTTGCGATATTTCGCTCTTCGATTTTGAAACCAAACCTGTGAGATCAAAGGGATGCGCAATGGAACAGACGTAAGGCTCATTCTGATTAGTGCCGATAGCAAAATAACGACGAACATTAGTTGTATAATTTTCTAATCTCTGATCACTTTGTGTAATACCACAAATTCCGCAGCTGATGAAAGATTTCATTTTAGGTTCCCTGCATGAGATAGGCTAGGTTGCGTTTCGATGAAACTGTGTCATCTACGCCATGTTGCATGTAGTTGCGGGCGACACTGTATTAGCCCGAGGGAGCGGTTTCTTCTTGCTCGAGTAAACAACGCCTATTCGTCCACGCTGCTACTAAGAACCTCTATGACGCAGCATCCATCAGACAGTTTGATACCCGATGATATTTCCTAGTTGCATTGCTTCCCCAAGGGCACATACCCCATCGTACAACAAGTACACCTAACGCATGTCTACATGTATTGGCTTTGGGGTACATAACTTGCAGACCACTCCCCAGGAAAGAGACGATGATATGCCCATACAGTATAACCTCAACAGTTTGAGGCGCTTGTTTAAAGCTGCAGCCAACACGTCGGCCTGTTGAGAAAGGTGTTCGGGGGTTTTGGCCCATAAACCTATTTTTTACCTCGAATATGCTATCCAGGCTTGGCAACCTTGGTTGAAGCGTGACCCCCGAGGTGCTAAAGACACCACAACGCAATACGGCGATAAACGTGGAGGGTCTACGCACCTTCTCTTGTAAGCAATGGCTGAAAACACTGGAAGTATTCAGCGGACACTACCGACTGCTACGCAAAGATTTCATATTGGTGTATGCCGCCATTTACTGTGGGTCAACCGCAGTACTAAACCCAAAAGTAGTAGCGTGAAACAGTGAATAATACAGTCGTTTAGAATGTCGACGGAATCGCTTTTCTTTTCGGGCTTGCCAACCGTAAACCTCACTGCTAAAATTAATCATTTCCACCCATACTTTTGATATTTTCAAGAAACGATCGATCTCGCGCTTGGCTCTCATCACTTCGCTACATAACCTGTGCTACTGTGTAGCATCTTTATGGTGTATCCATAGTGAATTTATCTGCTGCCTGGATACCAAGAAGCGACACGTGAGTGTTTTATTCTTTCCTTGAACTCGGTCACTGCAACGAATTACTGCGTTGTTTTATATGTCAACATTCAACTCCCATTACACTCTATCGTCGTACGGCAGTGCATTTAACGCGGTAAGATCTTGCTGCTGTTTGTATCCTAACCATACTAAGGGGCTTGTTAATCGACTGCATTTTCACTAGTAATAACTCAGTTTTCATTGTTCTTAACTCCTCGGTTCGATATTAGGTCATTCTAGGTACAAACTTTACTGTCTATGAAATACCGACACTGAGTATTTACATCAACAGCACATTATCACAGAACGATGGGGGATGTTGTCTACAGATCGAAAAGTTAAGATTAATTCCATGAATACCCAGTCGCCTGTTTCTAGCATCCTGGATCGTACTTCAAAGATGATGAGAAGCAAGGCGTTAGCCGACAATGTGCAATTATTCTAACCAGTAAAATGTATCACCCAAGTTGGCGTACAACCCTAGCTCATGATCTCGAAATAGAAGAGGGAACTCCAAAGCTAGCAAACCGTTTTGGGTAGTATACTTTCCATTTCGTCCAGACTATGTTAGCGAGATCGAACTAGAATTTGTTTGACATTCCTCCAAGCAACACTCCCGATTAAGGGTCGCAGATAACCGTGAAGATGACATCCAGTTGCCACTGATAGACGTGGGGTCTGTGAAGAGTAAATTTTATGCTAAGCAACTTGGCAGACATACTCAATTTCCTTCAGATGAACAGACCTATCTACTGAACACCGCAAGCGCGTGGTGAATTTGACCGCCAACTCGACATAGCATGCGCCGAGCAATTCGAATATACTATCTTTAAGGCACACATTGTTTAAAGGAGAAGGAAGTCATTTCTGAGGAGCAGAACACGCAAATGCATGCTCTTGAAGGACTTGGCATGGAGAGCTAGCAAGGATTCCCTGAATTCAGAAAGCTGACTGCCTATGTGACGCAGGGTAACTTTGTGTCAATTTGATCCGCAAGGACAAGCTGACGAATCAGCAGGAGTTGATGAAGAGATTCTTCACGAACCGAAAACTCTTATACAGGCATGTTAATGGCCTTCGTACAGTGCAACGCGGAATTCCAGCACTAATCACGACTGATGGGTGTACGCGATCAGCAACGGAAACAGCCGATCCCTTACGCTTCCATTACTCACAAACGTTCCAGAGAGTAACTGGCCCAACGGTTATCCCTGTTTCTATTGTCCCACTATCAGCTTTATCCAATATTACTTTACTGCAGAAAGTGTGTCAAAGAGACTGTTGTCGCTGCGTATCCACAGCTCTCTTGGTGTGGATAACATTCGACCGAAGGCTTTACAGGCAGCAGCCAGTGGTCTGGCAGAACCTCTGGCTATATTCTATCAGCGTTGTATGGAGGAGAACCATATTCCAACAATATGGAAGCGTGTGGTAATCACTCCTCTTCATCAGGGAGGGAGTCGCACTGATCCAACTAATTACCGTCCTATGACGTTACTCCCTGTGCTTTCCAAGGTTATGGAGTCTAGCATCGCTGATGCACTCATGCAGCACCTAGGAAAATCACAAGCTGATGGCACTAGAGCAACATGGCTTCCGACAAAAGCGCTCATGCACGACGAACCTGCTAACTGCAGGCAACAGCTGAATTGAAGCAGTTGATGGTGGAGCAGGAGTCGATGTCATTCACTTTGACTTCCCAAAAGCGTTTAATTGTTTACAGTACCGAATTCTCCTCCATAAACTTCAGCTCCATGGCATTGGTGACCCACTGCTGCGTTGGATAGGCAATTTCCGGCAAGAATGTCGGTTGGAAGTGAAAGCATGAGCATCCCTGTCCGAGGCAATTGAGGTGGAGTGTGGCGTTCCACAAGACTCGGTGCTCGGGCCCCGTGTATTGTTTGTTTTCATAAACGATCTAGCAAGGGAAATTACTTCGATTTCCTACTTTCCGCGGATGATATCAAGTTATGGACAGCGATCAAAGAACTGAAGGACGTGGTAAAGCTCCAGCGTGACCTCAACCCGATTTCATACTGGTCAATTCTGAATACACTACCGTACAATTTGTAAAAATGCCACGTTGTTCAATTGCGCCATAGGCATGACTACGTGTATAGGCTTGGGTCACATGTCTTGCAAACATCTTCCCAAGAACGCGACCGCGGTGTGCTCATTCAAAGTGACCTTAACTGTACAAAACTGTCAGAGGCAGCTGCGAAGAGAGCAAACCAGCACGTCGGCTTGCTGTGGAGAGCATTTGGAAGATTCGACTCATCCATCTCCCCCATGATGCATTATTGTTACGTGCGCCCTCACATTGAATACGCCATCCAAACTTGGCAACCTTGGTTGAAGTGCGACTTAGAAGTGCTAGAGAAACCACAATGCAGGACCACCAAGAACCTCAAGGGTCTGCGAAATCTGTCTTACCATCAAATGCTGAAGTCACTGGGAGTTTTCAGTGGCCGCTACCGAAGGCTGCGCAGAGATCTCATGTTAGTCTACCAAAAATTGATTGACCCTAATCACGTATGCCGTCACTTGCTGACACAGCCAAAACACCAATTTTAGAGGTAACCCTCTGAAATTTTGTGAACAGTATAGCCGCCTGGAATGCCGGCGGAATTATTTTGCTCTTCGGGTTTGGCAACGCTGGGCCTCTCTCCCAAACTTCGTAGTTTTCTCCCCCACCTTGAAAATTTTCAAAAGACGACTGGATCTTGCCCTTGCCCCCATCACTTCGTTGTCTAAACTGTGCAACTTTGGAACATATTAATTATCCCTCTAAATTGGATTAGCATGTTACGTAAACCTGAGGATGCTGGACAGAAGTGAGTATTCTTGTTTTTACTTTTCACATGTAATACGTCAACTATAACTGCCCCTGTTGCCAAGTCGTTCACATTCGATTCCAACTTATGCTACTATTATTCAGCAGCGTATCTGCTAGATAAACGTTCAAACAGACAATGCACCTGTCGTTTGATAATTGTAGTTTTACCCCCACCATCCTGCGGGACTTGTCAAGCAATGGCTTTTTTACCCGACATAAATCATTGTTCATTGTTTTTCAAATGCACAAGTTAATGAAGCGGGCTACGACCTGAACCTGAAAGCCATGCGACATCGGTAAACCTTGTATCCGAAGCGGACAGGCGTGTTTAGTGGCGAGTAAATTGGGTCACAACACGAGCACACACACATAAGTAATTCAAACATAGAGTTACAAACTCATCTTTCTTTGGCCTGTTTCCGTTAGCCCTCCTGAAGTGAATCGAGTGCCAATTGAATTAATTTTATTTCGTCCAACCGCTCAACAATACCCTTGTGGTATCGGATGGTTTACACAAGTGGTATAGGGCGCGGCAGTGACGCAAACTGGAGGGGTACTTAAGAACCTTCTCTTCCCCTCCAGGTAATTGGTGACAGTATCCGAACCAGGCCCACAAACAATTGGACCACTTAGGATAACGATGGGACAATATAGTCAATTTTCGCATGGAATTTTATCGCACAATTCACTTGGGCACATGGTTAAACACAGTTCCGTAACAGGGATCCACATAAAAGGTTACTCGTCTTTTGGTTACGATAACCTAGAACTTTACCTTGGTGTCACGTTTCCGTACTTCCTTTCGTTGATGGGAGTCACAACAGGTGATATTCTGTGTTCGGATTCACCCAATTCAACATAGTCTGCGGTACACCTCCGGTTTAGACTACCTTTAAACAACAGAGTTATTGTTCTCCAGTGGTAAAACGACTACTAGCATGCGGTTCTCATGGAAATAAAGAATACCATAAACGAACCATACCATGTATTGGTAAATTAACTGCCAGGTTCACAAGAAAATTGTAATTTCACCTGCCCAGATACAGGAAGGCAGGGAACCACGCCGTTAGATTTTG